AGCTTTCGATTGTAGTGGTTAGTTTGCCTTCAGGTCCGGTGCTACTCAAGAAAGGTGCAATGACAACCATACCTGATATCAGGAGAATGCTAGGGGCATTAATCCCACCGAGCAGTCTTGCAAATGATTTGTGGGGATTTCCAGGGGATCAGGGGGCTTTGTGTGCTGATACAGTAGCTTTCTGTATGCCTTGTCAGGAGACACCGCCAGGTGAGATCATTGACCAGTTGACATGGGTGGAAGATGACATTGGTTGGCATATTCAGGCTGAACATATGACTCTCCTTGCCTATACTAGGTTTGCACAGAAAATCGGCTTGTGTGAACAGATTTTGCGCATGGGGTGGATCTTGACAATTCGGCCCCTGAACCATGACAATCAGGCCACATCTCAGCTCTTGTTTCGGCCGCGCATTGAGGTCCCCAGTGTTGATGGCTTGTTCTTTCGTACTGCTTGTACTACCACCATTGCCATGAGCCTCATGCCTCCAGAAATCCCAACTAGAAGTGAACTGATAGTCAAGGTGAAATTCTGGGAGACGTGGTCTCCGGAATTTACGTGGCCAAGGACGACATTGGTCAATGATGTGGTCAGACCTTGGTCCAGAGCGTCGCAGCACACTGGTGACAGATCAGAAGTCCGTGCCATTTACATGGGTAAGCAGATGAGCAATGAATTCCTGTTACAGTCGTACTTGCCTCCAGCCTCTGCTCAAACTGTCATGCGCATTCATTGCGTGCTCCAGTTGCATGGGGGCGGAAACAAGGTCGAAGCGGCACAGCAATTGCGACAGGGTCTGGTTGAATTCTTCTTGCAAAGTGGTGCTGACCCATTGCAGGTTAATGACCATGCAAAATTCTTGGTTGAGAAAGCAGGCACGGCTACAGTCCAACATGCATTCCAGATCAGAGATCCCGAAGAACGCCTTGTACAATTGCAGCGACTAGCCAAAGCCCTCAATCTTAGGGCCCTTGCGATAGAACATCCCGATGTTGACAGGCAGAAGAAGATGCGTGCATGGAAGCCAAAAGCCTTGTCACAGGTAGCCGCAGTTCGCGCTGATGATTTCCAGTTGATTGGAGGTCACTTTGCTACGGCAGATGGACAAGCTCTGCCGGTCATCTCGTGGCAGACCAAGAATCCTGTAGGAGTGCTCTTGATTGATGCTGATGCGTATTTAGAGTATGCTAAGACCATCACCACTCAACCACATGCGTTGGGGGTGGCCATTCTTGGTCACGAATGTCCTATTGCGGGTCCCAAGTGTAGCAAACTGCATGTCGCAGCAACAGACACACAAGGAGTCAAAGTCATTCTGAAATCATGCTTTCATCAACTTGGTAAGTTTCCAGTCCAGCCAATCACGAAGGAGGGTGATAACATACCAGTTGCGGAAACAAAACTGGCTGCGATTACGGCGTGGAAGGAAGAAATGCAATCGGAAACTTGGGACAACTTGCTCCAGTCTCCAGCCAAAGTCTGTGCCCAGGTTTTAGCAATCAAGCCTTCAGAACACTACGGGGTGGCTCCCTGGGGCCGTGCTTTTCGGGCCGGAAACATGCAAAGCCCCCCAGAGAGTGCGACATCGTTTCAGTTTCATGTTAGGCTTCGTTGCGCTAGCCTTGAAGTGCTTCTTCGCAGGAGTGGCCAAGAGGGGATCTATATTGTCCCCAAATCCGACACTTTGCATCGAGCTGATGAACAGTATGCAATTGTGTGGCTTGGCGATCGGACCTTGGCTCAGGTGAAGGAATTCGCACTTACGGTGGACAAGCAACTTGGCTTGGCTAGGGCGAATAATGGAACGACCCAGTATGGCCTTCGTGTCTATGCAGATGCATTCGAAGCAACATTCAAGCTGGCGTTTCCATTAAAGCCAGTCCCGCCACACATGATCACCCATTACTTGGCCAAGGTCGCACCCGTTCCGGTAGGGGCCACGCATGAGAATATGCGGGATTGGCTGCTCGCTCAAAATATCCAAGGCAAGCCTCTCAGAGCATTAAATTCCACTACGTGGCTTCTGTCAACGGTTGATCAACCCACCACAGATGCGGTAATCTTGTCCCCCATCCTCAGCAAGCAAGATAGGTCTCGACCGACTGTCCTGGCTGGCCAGCAGGTCCGTCCATCGCCGGAGTTGATTGATCTTGAAACGAGCGAGGATTGGCTTCAGTCACATGACCCATGGGCGGAATGGAAGTCCACATCGTCGTCCTCCGGAGGATGAAGTGCGTCTACTAGAGACCTCAAAAGCCAGTCACCGTCAGCACAGGTGCAGCTGCAAATCAACGCTCAGAAGACTGAAATTGAACAGATACAGGCCAGATTGCAGAATATCGAGAATAAAACAGACCAAGCAGAACGCAACAACCAAGCCTGGAAGGCTACAGTAACCAAGGATCTCAAGGCATTTCGCGAAGAAGTCAACCATGAGGTCCATGGGCTAGAACAGAAATATGCATCATCATTAACTGCTGCACTTTCCAAGACTGAGTCAAAGCTGGAGAGTTCGATGCAGTCAGCAATTGCTCAACTGCAAACGTTCCTAACCCAGCAGAACAAATCCACAAAGCGAGCTTCGCCGGCGAGCCCGGAGAAGAGTGACGCAGAGATGGAGCCAGCTGCCAAGCCCTGACACCAGAGTCAGGGCCTTTCGTTCGGTTTCACCGCATTTGTGTTCCTTGTTGGTTCATGTCTCGAACTCCTGAAAGTTGTTTTCATAAACATGGATGAAGTTGTTCCATTTATTTTCACTTTCCAACGAGGATTTCGAATGTGTAATTCATGTCAATTGTGCATTTTGCAAACTAGATGTCGAAACCAAGCTGTGCCGCAGGTTAGTGGTCTGCCCACTGACCCCTTCACAGGTCCAGGCAAGGAGGTATTTGGTGGTACAATTTGTTTTGTGCAGTATGTGTTGATGGCTAGCGAACATCTTCAGGCCGGCTGGAACTGCGCGTCCCGACGAGCATACTGAGTCAAAGTTTCGTCTCCACAACGAGCTCCTTCGTAGCGCTGTCCTGACCCAACGTCGCTTCTCTGTCTTCCCTCTCGCCCGCCAAGGTGTCAAGAACGTTCAACAGTAACATCTGACAACTGCTGCTCCGGGATGTACTCGAAGCGCTCTTGCAACGACCAATCCATGCCCTGTTTCTCTGCCCAGCGACGTTACAAGAGTGTCCTACAAGTGTCCCACAAGAGTTTCCTACAAGAGTGACGCACACGAGTGTCCTACAAGAGTGTCCTATAAAAGTGTCCCACAAGAGTGCCCCACAAGAGTGTCCCACAAGAGTTTCCTACAAGAGTGTCACACAAGAGTGTCCCACAAGAGTGTCCCACAACAGTATCCTACAAGAGTGTCCTACAAGAGTGTCCCACAAGAGTGTCCCACAAGAGTGTCTCACAAGAGTGTCCCACAAGAGTGTCCCACAAGAGTGTCCTACAAGAGTGTCCCACAAAAGTGTCCCACAAGAGTGTCCCACAAGAGTGTCCTACAAGAGTGTCCCGCAAGAGTTTCCTACAAGAGTGTCCCACAAGAGTGTCCCACAAGAGTGTCCTACAAGAGTGTCGTGTAAGAGTGTCCCACAAGAGTGTCCTGCAAGTGACCCACAAGAGTGTCCTACAAGAGTGTCTCACAAGAGTGTCCCACTGGGACACTCTTACAAGAGTGTCCCACAAGAGTGTCCTACAAGAGTGTCCCACAAGAGTGTCCCACAAGAGTGTCCTATACGAGTGTCCCACAAGAGTGTCCTATAAGAGTGTCCCACAAGAGTTTCCTACAAGAGTGACCCACAAGAGTGTCCTACAAGAGTGTCCTACAAGAGTGTCCCAGAAGAGTGTCCCACAAGAGTTTCCTACAAGAGTGACCCACAAGAGTGTCCTACAAGAGTGTCCCAGAAGTCCTACAGGAGTGTCATTTGGACATATGTAGTTTTTCGATCGTGTTTGCATTCGGGCTCGTGGGTTCCATCTTGTTTTTTTCTTCCTGCAGTTCAACACGATATGCTCAGTGTCAACCACAAAGACCACCAAAAGTTGGAGAACAAACCCACCAGCTACGGTACGCATCCGGCTGTGTGGCAAAGCAAAAGTAAGGAGAAAAGCCCACTTGTCCTGGTACACTGTAGACTAAGGGGCGAACGAAAAGATCGATGCCTCTGTTTCGGCATCCTCCAAAATGACCTCGCCTTTCGGAATGGCTTCCACTGATGTCTTCAGTTCGAGAAGCAAAGATTCCAGGCGTTTAAATGAGTCGCCAAGGTCGCGTTCCTTTTCGATGGTGTCGTCCCTGTAGATGGTCACGCCCTTTTCTGCCAACTCTTTGAGAGACTGGAGACGGGCTTCCACCTCCTCATGCTGAGCATGATCTCCCTTTTGCAGACACCGATGTCGGAGGAAATCTTCTTCTCAGACTCCTCCAATCCTGATTCCAGAGTCTCAAGTTTTGCTCTGGACTTCTCCAGGATTGCCTTTTTCTTCTCAAGCAAACCAATCTTCTCGGTTGTTTTCCTGAGGTCCTCTTCAAATGTCATGATATTGGCAGAAGCTGTGATCTTGTCGCTGGAAAGCTTTTCGTGCAGCTTCAATCCATCTGTGTTCTTGTCCCGGCGCAACACCGATTTCTTCCAGAGTCGGTAGTGCTGCCAGCCTGCCCAAGCTGGTGGCTCCGAGTAGTCGCCCTTCGAGCTCCACCAGCTCGCCATTTCCAGCTCGCCATTGTCCTTGGCGCCAGGGATCTTAAGTCTAAAGAGGGTCAGGACCTCCTGAATCTCCTAAGGAGGATTGCGCACCCCACGACCATCGATTCCATTCAGCCCACTCCTCACCAGCCCATTGACGCGCAATCAGTGGAGAATATCAAAACTCATCAAACATCCCCGTTTCCTTTGTGGGAGAATTTAAACAAACAACCTGTAGGGGGAACCTTTCAGGCCAAAAACACGTGAAACACCCCCGCCGTTTCCCCACCTCCTCCCTCCCTCCTTGGCCACGTCACCGTCGCACCTCCTTGAGCCGCTCCGCCGGAGTCACCTCCTGCGAGGTCAACCGGTTTCGGGGTCGGGCGGATCGGGTCGATCTGGGACATCAAAAGACCGTATTTCCCTACAAGAAGCAAGCCTCCACTTTCTGACTATTTGAGTATAGCGAGGAAGGCACCAAAAAGCGAACTTTCACATTTGAGTGGATGATCAAATATGAAGGTCACTACACTGCAAGATGCTCTGATTAAGTAAGTTGGAATGGTTCGTTGTTTGCTTGTTAGTTAACAGTTTCAACAGAACAAAGGGAATCCCTACAGAAGTCTAAACACTTATAATTACAGACTTTTCCGAATGAAAGCAATTTTCCGAACTCAGTGCTCCTGAAAAGGCGGGGACTTGTCCAACAATGTATTTTGCATGTCCCTTCCCATGACGGTTCCACCAACAGACATGGCCCAACCTTTTGTGTCGCTCGGTCGCTCGGCTCCTGGGGCACATTCACCAGATCCTCATGAGTCGGTCGCGCGAGAGACCGACACCGGCGACATCGGAAGCTGAAGATTCCAAAACGTGGTATATACTTGGAACCCTTAAGGGAAATCCATATACCCTCTGCGAAGGTACTTGGCAGTGGTCCTTAGCACCTGAATTGTTTTTCTTAGAAATCCATGTGTCCGTGCGCCGGCGAGCGTGTTGCTCCAGGGCGCATCATACGTTAGGAGGGTGAAGACCAACTAAGTGGGGCTGTGGGGTCTTGATTTAGCACCAAATCAAGCTAGCCTCGGTGTATACCAAAGCAATTTCGGCTTCAACTTTGTGTGGTTTCTTCGAAGGACACAAACATGCCATGGAATGCCAGAATGGAGGAATCAGGCCGAATCCCAGACAAAAGAATCAACTGTCCAACACAGAAATCTCTCAAGTTTCTGAGAACGTTCCATCTCACATCGCTTCGGCATGCTTTGGCATGCACCTGCAAGCTTCTTCACATGTTTTTTCACAGGGCCAAAGAGAGTGTCTCCCTCCCCCAACCCCTGCGCCACCAGCTGCGGCCAAGGCCCACGCATGCGGCCGACCGCACCGGTGCTGCCGAGGTGCTCCCAGGAGCTTCTGCATCCGATCCAGCGACGACTTGAGGGTCTCGGCGCGCGGGTTCCGCGTTCCGCGGGGAACGCCGTTTCGCGCGGCCGGGTGGGGTGGGGTGGCGCGGTTCGGAATGGATTCGAGGTCTGGGCTTCAAATTTGGAGACTTGGTGTATGGGGACGAATGATTGAAGTGTCAAAGTGGTAGAACCGGTGGAACATCCAAAGCGTCATAGATCGAGACAAGAAGGAGGTGCAGGTGCTCTTCTTTCTCCCTAGATACGGAATCTGAAACAAACAGATTGAGAGGGTTCTGAGCCAAACCTGCTCCCTTCCCTTTGGCTCCTCACATCCCAGCGAGTGGCCCTGCCGCCAAACGCACCAGAAGACCGGCTCTAGGGTGTGTCGCCACCTAGTAGGAAATGAGGCTCCTAGTAGCGATGCCAGGAGCTCTTCAAAGTAGCTTCTGGTTCCTAAGAACTTCTTGCTCCTAGTAGTACGGCCAGGAGCCCCTTAGCGATGCCAGGAGCTCCTAGTAGCTTCTTGTTCCTAGTAGTAAGGCCAGGAGCGTCCCTAGTAGCGTTCCCCTATGTTTCTTCCTCGCCTGTCGCTCCAACTCCAGCTCCTGGTTCCGCCGGCCAGAGGCCTCCGGTCTCGCGCCGCACAGCTTCGCGCAGCGAAGACGCGCAGCATAGCTTCGCTCCGAGACAACGACTGAAGAAGAAAGAGGGGGCTCTGGCAAAAAGCACCTCAAATGTACTTAAAGCCATAAAGGTACACCACTTGTATATCTTGGGTTGGGAATTCATACCCAAAAAGCACCTTAAAGCTGGGTTGGAGGTTCTTGACCTGCCTGGTTCTACTTTTGGGTTCCACACATTGGGGCCGGATCTGGCAGGGCCTATGAAACATTGAAAGATCGATTCACAAAGTACACGTATACTGGTACACATGCATAGCAAGATGTCCACATTGCGAGGCACTTCAAGGACCTTGGATTCCTATGTCTTCCTTGTGCCCAAGTGAACCCCCCCAACGGCGCGACGGAACCATCTCCGCACCTAGTAAACCCGTCCCGTCCCGCCAGTCACGGCCTCCAAGCGTCGCAGAAGCTCCTGCTTCTCTTCTTCGACCTGGACCGGTGACCAGCGGGTCTGGGTCCAGGAATCGCATCCGTTGATGGCTCGAATCGCCGATGTCAGAGGCTCTCCGGAGTCAGACGGCTCGAAGCCGAGAAGACGGCGGTCCGGGCATCTGATTAACATCACCTCCATGTGAAGCAGACGCATCAACAGCTGATCACGTTTATGTTTTTTATTGCTTTTTAAATCTCCCGTCAGATCTGCTGGCGTGAAGAGCAAACGGTCAGATCAGCTGATGGACCTGAAAAGGCTTCGGTGAAAGCAAGTGATAGAACTTTGAATGCTCCTCCTTCTTTCCATGTGCATCTACCCGTCTATCTTAAGGATCATTCATGATGATAGTTACGTGATGTTATGTAAAACTGGAACTCTTTAGAATCTGCTTGGTTTTCCGACTTCCCTCAAAATGAATGCCTGGAGAAGCTCCTCCTAGTCTTCATTTCAGCAACTCAACAGTCTAAGCTTGAAAACGCGTCATGGTGCTCCGCGCTACCATTGCGCAAAACACCGCCCCCTAGACCGATGTCCCATCGTGTCCAAAAACAGTGCTTGGAACCTTTGACACAACTAAATAAATGCTGGAGACAAAGTCCATACCCAAACCACTTTGGGCAGAACCAGCCTCGAACCCCGTCACCGACGCCCGTCACCGTCCAACGACACCAGCTCCGAAGAGCTCCGCGTAGCTCTGGGACGTCCGGCAGCTTGGAGGCGATCGAGACCGGGAACACCTGCGGAGGTGGATGGGGCGAGGTGGATGGAGATGATGCTGGGTAGATGCATGCCATGTAGGCGAACTGACGAGACCTCTGGATGCTAGCGATCATCTGTCCAGCTGATCGGCTAGCCCAGGCTCGGCCAACTTGAGTGGTAGTAGTGCAGTGAAGAAGCCATCAGGAAAATGCACTAACAATCAATAAATTTTCAACTTGAATGTCTAAAGTTACGCTTCTTTGGAACACTCCTCTCAGTGGCCACCACTAATTACCATGTCTCTGTCTTCAGTTGTTTCGACATCCTTCCCCCCGGTCTGGGGTCGGCACCTCCCAGTCGGCTCAGATAAGCCTGGCGCAGCGACGGGGCACCGCGACCAGGAGGAGCTGGCACCGGAACTGCTTGAGGTCAACGAGGGCTCGATGCCAGGTACTATAGACCGAACTCGGTTATTTAAACGACTGGGGGTATCCCCCCTGTTCATCAACCAACCAATAGCATCCAAGTCCGTCGGTGCACAGGAGAATCGCCCTTGGAGCATCTTTAGGTAACCAATCCTGTGCTCCTTGCATAGAGCAGAGTGAAGACCTGTTTCTGATATAGAGAGAAATTGGCTTATATATTGGGCCTATCCCATTACCAGTAACAAATAGTAACAGTGGATGATGATGGTTAGTAAAGGCCTTTTCTCTAAAACCGTGATCATTGTTTACCGACTGTCACAGGTATGTTCGGACAGGCCCAACGGCCCAATAAACCATCTTGCTTCGGTGGTTTTTGCACCTGCCGTGCCCTCCTCCCCTGCGGCGACGATGGACCCCCTGAGGTGTCCTGCCCAGAAAACCGCGACGAGGAGGGGAGCCAGCTTGCCTCTCCCAATCTTGTGGCTGTGGCTGTTGAGGGGTCTACTTCCACAGCCACATGTTGATTCTCTGCAACGAGGGACAGAATTTCAACCCCTTGTTACTGTAGTAGTAATGCACCTGTTACATCTTGTTACCTGTTACTAGTAGCGATGCCCTTGCTACTCCCTAGGGATCCAAGTACCTTCTCAGAAGGTGATTGGAGACACTCTTATGTAGGTTTTGAGGGTCCAGTCGTACCTTCTGAGAAGGGAGAAGGTACGACTGGATCCCTAGGGACTAGCTACTACAACAACATCTTTAAGAAATACCTCTCGGGGTCCGCCCATCTCGCACTGACTTATGTCCTTCCCCCTCGCCTCTGACATCCGCGGCATGGGCGGCGGCAGCGGCTGAGGACCTGGGAGCCGGCGTGGATATGGGCAGGTGCACCAATTCACACTGGTTTGGATATGGGCAGGGCAGCACAGGGAGTGTTGCTAAATTCTAACCCGAGAAAAACCAATGTGAATATGAAATCCACCATGCAAGAAGTCAGTGCTTCTTGTCAGTCGAGGTGAATGCATTCTCCAAGCAAACTCTCGGAAAACATCGAACAACATGTGCCCAAGGCCCAAGACCCAATCTTTGTGTTGAGCTCGGTCTTCGGATCTGGGACTCCCGACTCAAACTGGCAGGTCTCACTTGGGCCCTCCACCCCCAACACCCATCAACCTCACCCCATTTCTCCAAAAGGGGTGTGTAGGAAAAAACCTCCCAGGCAAACGACATGACACTCCCCCTTGGGTTCAACTCATCAAATGATGTTTGCTGTGGAAGTACTCCCCCTTCTGTCGCGACTGGACCCACCGACCCACCGACCGGTCCTCTTGGTCGCCCCGGTCCCGCCTGGAGGCGGAAACGCCGCCTGCGGAGCTGTTGCGCAGGACGGACCGTGGGACCGTGGGACCGTGGGACGGTCCGAGGCTTCCTGGGCCGCATGATTTCGAGACATATTACATGATTTTACATGATTTCCGAGGCTTCCTGGCCGCATGATAAGGATTTTACATGATTTTACACTACAGAGCCAGGTCAACCGTTCTTTCAATCTTGGAAGGCATCGGGGAATAAGTATCAAAATCAATTCAACAATTGACGTGGAAGTGAAGGACCCACTGTTTGTAGATGCTTGCAATCTTTCTCAGAAACCATCTCGAAGTTGTATGTGAGTGAGTCGGAGGGTAGAATCTGTGCTTCCAAGGAGGTGCTGTATGGACCGTGTCTTCAATTTCCCTCCCCGACCACCTGGAAGAGGATCGCCCAACCCAAACCTTGTTCCGGTGAATCAAGTTCCCCTGAAAGAACTTCCTGAGTATGAAAAGTCCCACAAGAAACCCATTGAATAATTGCGAACTGATTCATGGTTGCAAGAAACACATACGGCCCTTTGAGAGGGAGAACGTGGCATCAAAGTGTTCTCCTAGTTTTCTTTGGTTTTGCACGCACTGGAACTAACATGGAACTGGATGGCACCCCCTGTTGGGAATTCGGAAAATGGTCTTCCACGGGGCCATGTTCCACTGGTATGTTGGTTCGCGTGAGTGTAGAATGTTGCTTTTACTCCCAACCCCCCCTGGAGAACGCTGGTCGTCGCTTGAACGCGTTCGCGGCCTCCTGCAAGGTGCTTTGCAGAATCCCCGCCCTGCCGAGGGTCGTTTGCGTGTGTGTGTGTGTGGAGGGAAACAAAATGAAAAGCACAAATAGCACCAAACCTAAGAGCGATGGCCTCCAACCTAAGAGCGATGACCTCCAATCCAAGAGCGATGGCCTTCGCCCTAAGGAAGGAATGAGAAGCACTTTGGGGGGGACATGCAAACAATTACAAACAAATACAAACACCTATCAGCTGATCAGCCCGCAATGCATGAAATAGTAAAACTATGTATATAAAACAATCGAAGTAATCGAAGTGGAAAAAACACAAGTCTTCATACCACGGGTCACAAGTTCAGCTGGTTTCTCAGGTCTTGAGGGTGTACCCCAATGGCCCACTTGTTGCACTTGGCGGGTTGCGTCTGAAACCCACAGTTTGGTCATTTCTGCAAAGAACATGAGTCTTCAACACACCAAGTTCTTCGCAGAAGACCACCTTTTTGTGGATCAATGGATTACTCTTTTTCGCGCTTGGTCAAGACACGTACCGCCACCCCATGCCACCCCCCTCTCAAGTCTTTTGGCCACTTGCCAAGTCTGAGGCGGTTGCGGTGTCGGAAAAGACACATCAAAGGCCTCAATCCAAAGGAAGGCCTTGTCATCTGCATTCCTCTTGTTCTTTTCCTCCAAGGCCTCCTTTTCTCATTCCCTAAAACCATCATGGAAGCTCCTGGGACCGAGTGCGGCCATGCCCCACTTCCACTATACTCAGGACAGTGGGACAGTGAAAAGTGGCTGACAGACCTGCAACGACCTGGAGTAGGCAAAGGCAAGCTGTGAACATGGAAGATATGGACCATCTGTGTTTGGACATGTTCAGATGTGTTATAACCATGGTTCTGTGTGGCAAAGGCAAAGGCAAACACATCTAGAGATGGATGAATCTCAGTAACCCTCCCGTTTGGCCTGTGTGGATCAGTTATAGTGTAGTTGAGCGAAAACAATCGGGAGTGCTTCCTTCAAATCATGTCAACCCCAAATGAAACGCGGGAGCTGGGTTGAAGATAAGCGCTTGTTTGGACAGTAAAGCGGCCTGAATTCCCATTCCTATATGATGGAATACAACCTCGGCAGAGTGCGCTCTCATAATAATGTAGCAGTAGCAATCGTAATCACACATTGCTTCACATGTGTAAGCAGGCAAACTTCACAAAACCTCATTGGCCATCCCTGCCAATGATCCAATCACCTTTTCCCCTCAACTGCTTCACCCTCACGCCCTTACGGCCGGCCTGTGTGCAGGCGGCGTTGGAGCACGCGCTCCCTCGCGCTCGCGCCGCAAGTGGTCGAGGCCGGCATAGCTGGCTTCCAGCGAGCCAGGAGAATGCCTCGTGGAGGCGATGGAAGCGAACACCGCGTGCCGCACGTGACCTGGAGTGGTCAGGGAGGGCGTAGAGTCGTAGAGCTGCGCAGACATGTGTCACCACAATTGAGGAAGAACACCACCCACAAAGAGAGTTTCTCATCGCCGACCAAGCATCTTTCAAGCAGCAAAGAAAATCACAACATATATATATATATATATCGTGCGAGTGGATCTTAATCAGCGAAGTTTGAAGCTATCACTGACGGTCCATAAGCGGCGTAGCGTCGGAACGGAAACCGCACCTTTTCTAGTCGCTTGATCCTTGAGCCAAAGTACATATGGTACATATATATATGTACAAGTTGCACTGTACGTGTCGCTGCACTTCCATTCGCATATCGAATATATATATTTAATAAATATCTATTATGTATCTTAAGAATGGGTGATCCAAACACACAGACTTTCCCAAACCTCAGACTCTTGGCGGCTGACCTCCCCAAACTCTCCCGGTGATGATCTCTTCGGGCCCCAAACCTCCGACATCATCCGAGTGGGCCCCCCGGCCACCAGCGACCCACCTCGCTGGAGCCAGTCCTGGGACGGTTGGAAGGGGGAAGTCGGGAAAAGCCATTTGAGCAAATGGTTAAGACAAACACATGTCACATATATTATATATGATATATCACATACTATCACATATGTTACAGTAATATATTCACATATATAATTATATATCACATATGTTAATATATCACATAATATATTATTATATCACATATAGATAAACATATTATTCTCTTCATATTTTGTTGTGTGTTGAAGAAACCCGTTTGAGCCACTCCTGACATAGCTGGAGAAACCAGACCATGTTTGCGCAGAAGAGACACGTGGCAGCCTGCGTTTAAAAGAAAAGCGTCGAAACTTGTTTGAGCATGTCCCAAAGGAGACGATATAGTTGAAAGGGTGACCGGTGGTGATTTCTAATGAACTTGGGTGCACTGTGAGTGGCTGAAGGTGATTCAAACCATCTTGTTCTTCTTCGTTATGACATCTGCACCCAGCCCCGTTGTGGAAGACATGAAATTGGCTTTGGATCCATCTCCTGTACGTCTGGCTCCATTTCCTTGTTCCAGCATCCAAGCACCATGCCTCCAAGTCCAGAAGGCTGACGCTTGCTTGCTCTCGTGTCTGAGCATCCCTTTGCAGGACCATCTCACCACAAGAATCCACTGTCGACATAATTGGGAAAGGGCTGTATGCAGCTTGGTCGTCGGGTTTTCCAAATCACCAAACCACTGTCTTTGGTCAGGACCGCCTCCCCCTGGGACCGCCTCCACCATCCCCACTGGGGCATCCCGACAAGGACCTCCGTCGCGCTCGGGGCGAGAGTGGGTAGTACTGCGTGCCCGCTGCACGCTCTCCTGGCGCGAGCCGTAGTAGAGCGGTGACCAGAGCCGTACCGCAGTGCCCAATAGTACCGGGGGATGCCATGTTAGGTGGGGCATGATCCACATCCAGAGGTGCTGATGCTGTGAGAGTTCAGTTGAATGATGTTGAATGTATCCCCAAAAGAACCACACTGCTGGTCAATGGAAAATAATCACTCACCTAAAAACCAACAACCCAAAACCCAAGCAAAGTGCTCCTTGATGGTCCTTGTCTATGCGTTGAAAAATTTCAATTCCAAGCCACCGCGGCACCCCCCCCACCCTGCCTGAAACGCCGGCGCACCGGCGCGGCAGCGACGGCACGCCCGAGGCCACGAAGCCTGGCAGGTCGGCGGCTATACGACCGGTCGGCGGCGGTGGCACAAGGTCACAGTTTGGGCAAGGTGAGTTGGACTCAACAGAACACAAGCTTAAAGCATCTTAAAACCAGGAAACCTGATTCTTTTCTGGCGACAAGGCTGATGTTGATGTTCCTGACAATGCGATGGTCGGAGCCAAGCACTCGGCGGGGTCAAAGAAGAGACATGAGACCTTATCTTTCATATGTTGGTCTTCCGCCGACCCCGGCTAAACCTGACCCAAGCGGGGCAGAGCCCGGACACTGAATCCTGATGTGCAAGTTTCGTGGCAGGCGGAAGTGCAGATTTCATGGCATTTCATCCAACTGTGATTGATTCTTCAATTCTCCACTGTCCCAGCCCTAGAAGACTTGATTGACACTTCTCCAATCCCGAAGTTGATCTCACCCACCAACTTGGAAAGCCTACAAAAATTCCCTCTCCTCTCCAGTCACCACGCTCCTCATACCCCCTGGACCCACCAACCGCGATCTCACCAACCCGTCGCGCCGCGCCTGGGAAGACGCGCGCCTCGTGGGGCTCCGGCGTGCGCCACGCTCGCCGTGCGAAGGGCGTCGTCGGCGCCTGGAGTCGTCGTGGCGATGGCGCCATGGGCGGGCGATGGTTTGGTTTGTGGGGAAGATGACATGGGCAGTGCTTGGGAAGATAGAGGAAGTATTCGATGTTGCTTTTGGTGCTATTCAATGTGGGATACGATGGCCTCTGGCCTCATGGACCTTTTGGGCTTCTTAGAAGCCATCCCGAAATAGAACGAGCATGTTTCTGTTGAGCGGGCCTGTGTTGACAAACACGGCTTTTTTCCGCCAAACCATAAATGGCCTCACGCCCTCAGTTTCCTTGGATATTAACGGTGAACCATTTTTTGCTTTTTCGATATTAGCGGGAAAGCCAATACATGCCGTTTGGTGTATACAGGCCCATACACCGCCATACACCCCAAAAACAGGTCTTCTCAAGAGGTACCCCTGAGCTGAATCATCTTTCCGCGGATGAAACCAAACATGAGAAGAAGAACAAATTACCAACAGATTTGTCCGTTTGCCACCCGAGTCTCCATGTGAGTACCAGGATTTTTTTAAGTGCGCACACAAAACCGGACGCCACCAAAACAACAACATGGTACCTTCCAAATCCTTCCAAAAGGTTTACACTCCCTGAAATCAATCTCATAGTGTTTCGTGGAAGAACACCACCAAGGACACACTGATTCACACGAAACGAAGATCACGAGTCAAACTGGTCCTCCTCCGAGTCGTTTCTTCCTGCGGAATCATTGGATCCGTTCACTTACCGATGATTTCAGCGGGCCAACAGGGCCCTCGATCCACCAACCGCGCCTGGCGCGTTGGTCAAACACACATGTCCCCCCCAACCTGTTCCGCGCGCGCGCGCGCCTCCACCAGCGCCATTGTCCGGACACCGAGTCGTGCTGCGCTGCCGTCGTCCGTCTGTGATGTCTAGTGGACTTGGAAGATTTTCAGGGCTGCAGTGCTGCAATTCATGTCATTTCATTCGAAGACAACACCCTCCGATGTCGACATGATGTCGACATGACGTGAATATTTGTGGATCACGAGAGTCTTCGATGTGAAGTCATTTGGATCATGATCTTTCATTGTTTTACTTCCCTTGCTGTGCAGTGCGACCTCAATCACACATCGCCTGTATTTGTCAAGATCTGTGCTTAGCACGCCCAAACTTGTGCTTAGTGCGCCCAAACTGCTGACAGCTATCCATCACTTTGGCTTGACAAAAACACGAAGCGGGGGGGTCGCATCTATGGTGATTTCGCTGCTCCTCGGGTGCTTTCATGGGTGCGACCACAGCGGTCAGCAATTCTCTCACTTTCTGCCACGACGTGAATTCTTTTTTGGGCGGGGTCACCTGTCCATCAAGCAGGGATTTTTTTGCGCAACATTGTACTGAGTGAAGATCCCCTCCACAGCGGTGTGCACACTGAATGCAGCAAAAAGAAGAGGGGCAAGTGAAACTATTCCCAGTGCACAACTCGGTCTCCCAAACTTTGTGGCTAGGAAAGCGCGTGCGAGCACAAGGGGCCAAGGGGCCTTCAAACAATTGTTTACTCACCCTCTCGTTGCGCGGTCTGAGTGAGACGCGCCAACGGCATATGCGTCACGCAGGCGACATATGCACCAAACAATTGTTTACAAACATAATGGGATCTCCCTGGTTTTTTACCGTTTTGTTCTGACTCAAAGGAAATTAAAGGAACAACTAGGGAAACATGCATAAACATTGTGTATATACCTTTCTATCTTCCAAATCTGTGAAGCTTCATGATTATGAATCAATCATTGTTGAATTTATACACACCAAGAAACATCCTACATCGCTGGAAGGCTCTTGTGAATCCCTGGAATTGGGGTAAAGCGACGCTTAGCGCAGCCAGCTCAGGGACACCTGAAAACATGTCCAAGATTGTCCAAGGCATGTGGAAACGAAATTCTCTTAGAGTCCCATATCCTGTGAGTGAAATGTTCCGTGGAATGCGCTAGCTGCTAGCTTATGGTACCATGGGAGCGAGAATACCGTGGAAAAGAGCCCTTCCAAAAGGTCATCACCGACACGTCTCTGATTCGTCCAGGACCGGCCTGCGCACTGGCCGGTGGGCACCGGTGCCACTGCGCAGGCTCCAAGTCCATGAAACTTCAGAGAGAAGAAGCCGATAAATAGATTTTTAACCCACCATGCCATAAGCCATAAACTTATTGGCATGACGGCCTGGTATCATCAGAATCAAAGCCATACAATTTTACTATCAGAAAATTACTCAACCTATCAGCGATGGCCTCCAACCTGCTTCTTTTCCCCTGGATTTTTAAACTGGTCTCATGGAATCGCTGCAACCAGGCTTGGCTCCTCTTTCAAGGCACGAAGGGTTGGTGGATCGGATCACTCGCAGTTCGGGTCGACCGTCTTCAGGGTCCCAAACGCGACTCACTCGGACCAGCCACACAGCCAGCTCCGAACCCAAATCCAGCCACACAGCCTCCGAACGCCATGGAAGTCTCAGGGATCTCTGTAAGCCAGCCAGCCCACATCCCTCTAAGCCAGCCAGTAGCTTCCCAGTTATAGCCTTTATAACTCCCAGAGGTGACCCGAACAGACCCGCACCAACTGCTACGGTTCGGTCCCCACCCAACCCCTGCATTGTGAGGGTCATTTCGCCCGGACCGCGATGACGAGGGTCCTTTCTGAGCCTTTGGGCTGTTGGGAATGGAACTCAGCGACCGGCGAATCGGCCGTTTTGGCTCTCCAGGATTGCGCCGACGTCTCAGCGGCCAGTCGGCCACCGCCTGACGCATCGGCGGCAGTTCTTGGGGTTTGCAACCAGCTCATACCGGCAACAATTGATGGGAAGATGCTGGAAAACACCAAAGCGGTAGTGTATCAAGCAATCCTTTGGGCTTCCTTTGGTGTACAGTACAGCAGCACCCCCTAAAAAATGGCCATTGCCTCGTGCTGCTCCCCCTTTTCCCTCGTCAATCACCATCTCCTCTCCTCTCCTCTCCTCTCCGTGTTCTTCTCCTTCTATTCTTCCAAGGACCAAACCACCCCAGCCGCGCCCGCCGCCTCAGCGCCGCCGCCAGAGCACGATGCCCAGGATGAAGACGCAAAAGGCGCCCACGCAGATCCTGTCGCGGCACGGCCACTGGCCGCGATCGGTGCTCGGTGGATCCTTCCGGTTCTTCAAACGGTTCATCCTTGGAAGGAGCTTCATACCCAATGGCAGAGGCAGATGAGGCTTGGATGAGGGGCTTTGAGGACAAATCGACCAAGACAGCCACACCCCAACACACGGCTTTGGAGTGCTCTTCACAACCGCTGCTTTGGGTGTAAGGTTTTAACGGGATTGAATAGTCAATCGATTGGCTTTCGGTGTCCGAATCTGGTCCTTGAGGCAGCTGCGCGTTCCGCGCAAACCAACACCTTGCAACCTCTCGGACTGGGAGAGAACCATTCTTCTTTGAATCCATGTTGTGGAGCTTGCAAAAAGGACAGCAGCAAAAACAACAGTGATCACGTGCGATCACCAGCATTTCAACATATTCATCATTTCATCGGATTTCGTACTTTGCAGGGTTTCCATGCTAGCACCTGGATTCCATCTATTCCCTTCTCCGAAACATTCAATATGGACCCCTCCCAATCCCGCCAAAGTTCAACTTCAAGACATTTTCAGGGTTGCTATGTGAACAACTGGAGAGCCACACTCTCCCCCACCCTCCTCCACTCCCCTCCCATCTCGTCCCTGCCCGTGGAACACCCCGTCATGGAGATTTCTCTGCCCGTGAAGCCGTGGTTGATCACCGTCTTGGACAGCGCATGCCTTGATGACCGTCTCCGCAGAGCGACGAGAGAAGGGCGCAAGCGCGCCGCGCGCGAAGGCGTGTGGAGCGAAGCGCTACAAGGACCACAGCGAAGGAGTCCCGTCACCGCGGGATTCGGTTCCCGAATCAGGTGTGGAACGGCGGTGAAGCTACTTCGTTCATACTCATTCCTTCATACATCTTCATACATAGCCTCCCTGAAAAATAACATCTTACAGTAAGTCAAAGCATGTTCCAAGCTCAATCAATCAATTCCGTAGATGCCAGGGTAGCTCAGCGAATTCTGAATGTTCTGAAACTCTGGCGGTTGGCAGCGTTGGAATTCACCACGATTGCAAATCAAGAACCTCTTAAGCACGTTGCCAAGAAATGCCACGTTCTTCCTGACTCTTCAACGTGACCTTTTGATCTCCTATGATATCCTGCTTTAAGGTCACAACCAGGTCACTTTTCAGGGTCCCAAAAAACCATCACATTTCAGACACGACGATCACGCTGGTGGACGATGACGCTTCATTCCCAGAAAACCAAACATCACCGATTCTTCCAATCGAGGTGAATCCGTCGGGCATGGCTTCAACGGCTTCAACGGTGGTTTGGCTTGTCCGAGAAACGGTCAAACCCACGTGGATCGGAACAGCACCGAACCAAACACACACACAACAAGGAAAAGAAGGGAATAGCAATTGGGAATACCTGGAACAGGACCACCCTTTGCAACCGATCAAACTAGTTTTTCAACATCCAAAACGACCCGGTCGTTTCGGTGAAGCCCTTCGGTTCGCTTGGGTGGGAGATGTACCAATCTCCGAGGTCAAGAGAGTCTTAGCCTAAGACCTCATATTTTGCAAGTATATTGTACAGACTTCAAACACAATACAGTTCGGAGCTGGCCGCGGTTGTGGTACGCGCAGTAACATCTTACACGGTATATACAGCGGAATGAACCAAATCACTTGATGCATGTGGTGTCTGGGCAAATACAGTAAATATATTCAGGCAAAGAAGGGAATGACCAAATGAATGGGAGCGGAGGTGCCATAGATTGCCCTAGATCTATTCGAAGGATTAAGACAAACCTCCATGTCATGTATTCCGACCTGCAAAACAACGGCTTTGTTCCACCAAAGTGCCATTGTTCCACCAAAGGCAAGCGCACCACGTGTGGCCCACCGTTGCCAGTGAGCCAGGTGATGAATCTCAGCAAAGGCGCCACGGCTGGGTCGAAATCTTAAGGGTCTTTGGCTCAGGCTGGGCCATGCCGGATAAGAAGAAACTGAAAAACGAGCTGCTTCCAAGGGCTCAACCCTATCACTACTTATAGGATCTTATAGGTCTTGATTGGGCACTCCGACAGGGAAGCGCTATAGGTGTACAGTAAATCAACCCCAACGCACAAGCAAACATGTTTGGTCCATCGGCTCACAGCAAAGCCTCAAACTGGTAAAGACCATGGACTCCATGGACCAATCTGGACCAGAGGAGATCTTTTCTGCCAGCCATGCAGACAACTCAGTGTGTTGAAGCACTCCCACGTGCCATGCAGCAAAATATATACAACAAACACATCAATCTACCGCTTCTCTATTAGAAGTGGACCATCAATCACCGAATCAACCTCCGCATGGGCTTCAAGCACCTCAACCGCCCCCCTTTCACACCACCTCGGCCGCACGCTCCACCCCGCGTGGCCTGTCCAGCGAGGCTTGGGCACCTTCGGCCTGTGCCTCGTTGTAGACCAAGCGTTGGGCCCTGCGCCCGCGCGCGCGACGCGGCGTGGAAGCCCCTCGACTTGAAGTCTGAGAAGCCGGACACCCAAAGACTTGATGTTTTGGCTGGAAATTCTGGAGCAAATGACTTGGAACTTGCAGGTCATTGACTTGCAGGACCATTTCCTGGGAGAAATGGGTGACTGGATGGTTCCTGTTTTGTTGGAGCCACCGACAATATTGAATGGCAGGTGTTTCCTGCTGTGTGGGTCTATAAATAATATATGGAGTAGTGTTGTCTCTCCAACTGTTCCTGCGACGTAGGATGAGGCCCCTTTTGGAACAAAATGTCTGGCTCGTTTTCTTGGACGCACGCGAGCGGTTTTGTAGGGTTGAGCCCATGAACATCAAGGATACCCTGAATTTTTGCTGCAAACCGTTGGCCCATCAGTCTATCAGTGGAATCACCTTGAATGAAAGGGGTGGGTTTGGACTCGTATGGACTCCAAAAAATGATCTTAAAACATCCTCCGAAGGTAGCAGAACTGGACTTCCCAAAAGGATCTGGAACATCCTCGCCAGCAAGGATCTAGATCTGTGGACCTTCTGCTTCTACACCTCAGACGACCTTAGACCTTTAGACACAGTGTTTGGGGTCTCTTGCCGGGAGAAAGACCTCAAACGACCACCTCTAGACGACCTCTACACCTTCAAGATCTTGAAAATCCACCATCCCTCCCTGCTGCTCCCACAGTGGACCACGAGGCGGAAACCGGGAGGCGTCGCGTCCCGCCTCCATTCGGCTTCGGTCACGGGGTGTTCGGAAGCCTCGAGGGTCGAGGAGTGGCAAACACATCGGGCTACAGGACCGAAACCGTTCGTCCGGTGGGTTTTGGGACATTCCGGTCATCACCTCTGTTTGAGGCGACTTTTCTTTAAGGCACCTTAATTTCGGATGGTCCTGGAAAATTGTATGACATTGTATGCATTTTTTTTCAATCTCTTTCATGGATTGTTGTTGCATGGCTGTTCTTTTTCAGTTCAACGGTAGCAACCCTTTTCTAGCCTGGAATCCGAAACATGCAACAACAATTAGCGCCATGTCTTTATGCGGCAGGTGTCTAGGAACGGAGATCAGTCGTCTCAGTGGATCGCAGAAGGGGGAACACAAAACATCCCTCACTCAAATCACAGTACTTACCAATCATCCAGTATCCAAGTTATCAGAATGTTTTTTACACCATTTGGTGTGTGTATTCAAAAACGGTTTTACACCCAACCAATGGGTTTTGTATGGTTTTGATCTACTTTCCTTCTTCCAAAAGGCTTTTGGGAGGTCTTTCAATCATGTTCAATCTCACCAGTCCGTAATTTATCCAATCATCCAAGTATTCCAAGTAATCAGCACATGTTTTTTTTTTTCACCATTTGGTGCCGTATTCAATCTCGATCATCGCCCGTGCTCAGCGTCACGCACCGGCCTGTCTTTGCACCAGCGTCACGCCGCCACTCTCTTCGGACCAACTGTCGTCCGTCGAATCCGTCAGGGGCGGAGGTCAGCGACCGAGGGGGCGGTCAGGGGCCGGAGAGAGTTGGATTCTGGAAACCTTCCTTTAAGCTACGAACGGGGGCCTTACTAGTAGTAACAAGAAGCTATTAGAATTAAGTTTAATTAGAATTAGAATCCTTTAAACATCTTTTGATGTGTAGTTCAATCGCTTGACCCTTTAAACCCTCAATAGCCCTAGCTTGTTTCCTCCAACACTTTACACTTAAGATCAGTTGAAACCAAATCGGACATGACTAGACCATTCCATTTGGACACTGATCTAGTCGAAGCCGATGATTCGGGACATGGCACGAGGATTCGGGACCACCTCGGGGACCGGGCCTCACTCGGAGAAAGGCCGATTCGACTGAAGTGTGTGACTTCTCAGTGGAGACTCTTGCAAAATGGCCTCAACTAAGTCTGTGTCTCAGCAGTCAGTTGTAGAGTCTAGTACCTGAGAACCAGCTACCAGGTACTGGGAGAAGGGGGCCACCAAGACTAAGAAGCAGCTCACATACGCCTTTCACATTGGACTAATCCGGGACTAATCCCTGCACATTGGGTACTTCGTGGTATTTGATCCATAAAAGTCAGCTTGCCTCAAAAGAAGGCTCCAAAACGCGCGTTCCAAAAGCCAAATTTCGAAGGTTTCCGCCAAGAAACACCTTCAGACTGAGTCGATCTCTACCAGGACCTTCCAAGTCAGATGGTTTTTGGACACCCCCTTTACCTCTAAAAGGCTATTTATAGGCACCTCTTGGATGGTCCTGGTACCAGGAGTTCCATGTTAGGATGGCTCTGAGTCCCACTCCGGTAGAGTGTGGACGAGGTGTTCTGGGCTTCCTCCACTCGAGCCACTCCGAACGAACCGGCCAACCGGGTCGGGTAGCACGTACGCCTCCCATCCCCGACCTGGCACACGCGGCGCCCTCGCATGCCGCGGGCCACGCGCCCGCGCATGCTGCGGGCGCTGCGAGGGCGAGGCCAAGCGTGGCGCGTGGCACCTGAGGCCGCTAGGTCGGGGATGGGAGGGCTTTCTCAAACGCGTGGAACCAAGAGCAAACAGGATGCTACTGGATGCGTACTGTGATCTACTGGAGATACTTCATGATGCAGATTCACTGCTTTCAAAGAGAGACCAACACGATCAGTTTTTTTGGAACCGAGGCAAATGCCGGCAAACAACCAAATGATTTAACATCACATCAAGCATCATCAACCACCCACGGAGTTGGTTTCATGCTGAGAGACACCCGCGTCGGAATGTGTACGACAGGTGTAAAGAATCCAAGTGCCTCCCAAACACACGTCACCAAAGTAGCTACTGAGAAAAAACACACCAAACCATCCCAAACAAACTAGAAGCAACGCATGTGTGAGCGCTGTTCCTGTGCCGTGAAATTAAGGCAAACTGTTGGCTTCCTGGTGTTGCTTTCAGTGGGCAAGAAAACGCCGGCTCCTGAAGACCCAGGCTCTAATGCCATTTTGTATGTCTCTTCTTGAGGTGAATATTTTGTAACCATTGTATGCAGAATACAAACTTGGCAAAAAGAGAACCCTCACCTGAAGATATGACATGAGTTCGTTCCCCTTGCAAGGCAATTTTGGCAAAAGGTTCATCCATTCGCCACACCCTAAGCAGTTTGGACATGATGGTCGGCGTCTTGCCCATGGTGCGTCCAAAATGACATCAAATCAGACTCTTCACCCTTCAAATGCTCATGTGCCACCCGAGCCCCTTTGAGGCATCCGCTGCTATCATGACCCAACCAGCACCACCATGGCAGTCAACGGCGATAACTACGTGGCGAGAGCGTCCTTGGTAGAGAGAGCCTCAACATCGTTGGGTGTCCTCGTTCTGACTAGGACGAACTCGAAGTCTTCATTGAAATCATAGCAGATCATACGAGACATGGATCTTATTGGATAATCTTAGTACGTGTTCTATTGGGAACGTTGCTAACCTTACTGTTTTGGTGTCCGTCTTGTTGCGGGGGCCTAGCATTTGTTGCGGTGCTGTGCATGTTCAACTCCAAGTATTGTTTGTTGCGGGAGAGTTTAAAGTTATGTTGGCGCATGCTTGGCACTGCTGCTGGCAGCAACAGGCTGAACAATGCTGAACAAACAAGAGCTTTGGGGGAGTTTTCCCCTAAGAGGACAGTTTGAGAGACTCTGAGCCGAAACAAGCTGGCAGCCCACAAATCCGCGTTTTGAAAGCCCAGCAAGGCCAGGGCATCCAAGGCCCAAGGCCTGCTGTCAACAGGGAACTACTGACGTACGTAGATGCGGTTTTTGGCGCGTGACCATCCTGTATCTGTTTCCCTTCCTGTTGTATATCTTTCCCCCAACAATCATCCATTTGCATATTGCATAATATGCAATGGCTTGCATAAATTGTGTGATTCGTTAGACGTCTCTTGAAGCTTCTCTTACAAAGCTTTGTGGACAACCCCTCTGCAAGAGGGATACTGAGACGATGCCTTCTTCGACCACAATGGCGATCCCTCGCAAAAGCACATCACCATAGCAAGAAGCAAGGAGCATTGAGGTTCAAACCCTTAAGGACACAGTGGACTCATGACTACTGGCCATTGTGATCTTGAATTGATTTAGGGATGGGGATGCAAACTTCTGCTCATGTGAGGCACAGTTCAGCAAATAAGTCACGGTTTTCCAAAAAAACTGCTCACCAAATTACCAAATAACACCCTAACCACAAGCAGAATGAAAACCATGCGACTTCCCAACATCATTCCCCAAATCGGACCCTTTTTTCGACCAAAAGGCGCAGCGACTTTGTCTTTTTTTTTGAAGGGCTGTCTACGATGATCCACCGAGGGGCTCTTGACCCAGTTCAACGCTGACCATACTTAATTTCCACCTTCCCATCCAAATTTCAAGCATGTTGACACGTTTACATATTGCCATCATCTCAGGTGAAATCCCATCCAAATGTCGAAGAGCGACTTTAGACAGGACCACAATGCCGATTTTCCTCCTCCCATTCACAGAAACAGCTGACCGACCTGAACGGTATGTCTCCGTTCTTTAGAGACAGAAGTTCGAGCACTACACTCAAATGGAACTTCACAAATCTTCAGTCCTTCCATCCTCCCGTTCTTCATCCTGATCCGGATCTGCTTTGACGGCTGCAACGGCGATCCGGGCTCCTTCAAAAGGTCCATGAGCACCGGCAACGACCATGACCACCATATACCCAGCCATGCGGCTTTTGGTTTGAAGACATGCCGAGTCAATCGGAGGCCTCCATCACGAACTGTGTCTAGGCTACGACTAAGGGCATGCCAATCTGCTGATGCATCTGGTGGACTTTTGCCCAAAGATTCTCAAAGCTGCCTTTGCACACCATCTGCACACCTGTCTTCTCAGGGGCATCTGCACACCATCTTGCTCGAAAGAGTGCAGGGCCACCGCATAGAGCTGAATGTCCATGTGCGTCATGGTGAGCATTCTCTCCAGCAACTCGGGCGACTCCATGATTTCCTCACCATGACCCGCCTCAATTTTTGTAGCCTATGTTGCTACGATCAAACGAGTAAACAGTAAACATCCCTCATCCCTTTGTATGAGAGCCTTTTCTGGATTCTTCGAATGGATTTCCTTGTGAAAAGCACTCATCCCGGACTCATCCCTGTCTTTGATCTTGTGTAATCCACATGTGCCCCGGCAGCCTTCGTCGCCGGGCTGTCCAGGGAGAGCCCCCTGGGAGGTAAGGGCAAATTCATCTCATCCAGCGGTACGTGGTGTCGTGCGCCGTCGCATGTCTTTCGCTTTCTTCACCCGCTCGTCACATCAGAGCCGCAAGTCGAAGACGTGGTAGGTATGTCTCATCGTGGCGATCACATGCAGCTTCTCCGCCACCGAGAGCCTCAGGACAAACGCAGCAGACCAATGGTTGGAACTGGTGGCGGTGCCTGCACCGTGTGGACCCTGGCTGGGCGACTGTTGGCCGTCTGGTCTTGGGGGTGAAATTCTTTGCGTGCCCTCATGGTACTTCTATGCAGGATGAGCTTTGGAGGATGTCTCAGATGTCTCATTTGGAAAACACCAAGCACTGAAAGGTGTGAGTGTTCACCCGTCGTGCTTGTGCGCATTTTGAAAACATCGCTTCCACAAATCGTCATTCTTCCAAAAAGAGTTTGTTGCACTAAAGCTGGCTGACCCTTGAAGATGTTTCCCAGCAAAACAATAAACAGGAGAATCCATTCTTTCGGAAGAACACTGGCCTTACTGGGGGGCCTTGGCTCCAAAGCTCAACAGGAATCTCCGCCATGGCAACACCCCATCTTCAACACCTTCGGCTGGTGCTTCTGCTGACCAAATGGGTGGCTGGCTGAATGCTACGAATCCTTGAGGCGAACACTGCAGCCCCAGTGGCTCGGGCGAGGTCAGGTCCAGGATGTCCCGCCGAAAGGCCCGCCAGTCGGCGTCCTGCTGGGTCCAAAGACCGTGGGCGGGGCGACACGTTTCCCCACCAAAAGGATGGGGCGCGCGAAGGCTGGACGTGGCGGGCGTGGTGAAGACGGTGCTGGCGGAAGTTGTTTAAGCTTGTGACATTGTGTATGATGGTTGGAATTGGTTGGATGCTGGACAAGTTACAAGTTCCAGAACCCCAAAACACTCCAATTATTAGCAAGGGTTGTCTGAGACTCAGCAAGCATGGGTGCTTTGTTGAGACCTTTCAATCCTACCAGAAGGCCCTTCCCCCCAAAGACCACCAAACGGACGTTTGACTATAACGCATGCCCACGCCACACTTAACGAATGCTTAGATCTATATATATAGATGATCTAGCTGCTGTTTGTGCAGAGTTTCCTGGTACCATGTGGTGCCAGGTGTCCCTGCGAAACAGCCTGATCGCAAAGGCACTGTCGAATTTCCATCCAATTCTGGGGGGGGCTACAGTAGATTCATTCAACTGGGATGGCCATGAATGCATCTGAATTATCAGGTCTATATACAACTAATTGACCATCCTCCCGAACTCTGCAGTTAAAACCGAACCCTCACACCGCATCCCGCACACCTCACAGACCGGACCAACCCTGGCAGACAAGGACGACTGGACTCTCCTCCAGGCGAATGCGTGAGGCCATGCGACACAAGGTGTCCTCGGCGTGCCCCGCACGCCCCCGAACCCAGGAGCGCGGCGCGGGATCCCTGCGCTCGGGGTCAGGAGGGTTCGGGGCGGACGGACGCCGGACGAAGGAACGACGAAGGGCAAAAAGACCCTGGCAAAAGCATGGTGATGTCCAGTGTGATGTTTGGACCATGCATGAATATGACGGCGCTTACTGCGGTGCTTTGCAATTCTGTAGGAGCTGAGCTCTTTCCTCTCGTTGGAACCCCCCAACCAAATACGCATGGTTTGCTCGGGGCATCGTTTTCCCCAGCTTTGCCAAAAGGCAAGCTCTCGCACTTGATATATCCAACTATAGCCAATTATATAATATACACGTTCAAGAATTGCAAGGTTGGAACACTTTCAAGAATTGCAAGAACACTTTACTGAACACTTCCCAATAGTTCGCCCCGTAGTTCGTCGCTACTCCAAAGCTTTCACGTCTGAATCACACGACCCAGGTGCCCCATCTTCGGAGATCCCCACCCAGCTCACCATCTCTTCCCCACGGCCCTGCCGTGCCATGTGCCGAACCCCGCCGAACCCCGCCGAACCCTCCGAAGCGGTTTCACCGCGTTGTCCCACGGAGTCTGTGGGATCCCGCACCAGGTGACACAGCGCGGCACCCACCTGGGCGCTTAGCCGGTGTCGCGCGGAGCCGGTCACTGGTGGGGGGTCGTATTAGGTACGTCGGGAGAGTTGTGGGAGGCCCGTGCGAGGTCTTGGAGGTGACCCTGAAATGCATCAAAGGCATATCCAACGCGTCTGTATTTGAATAGGGAGACCCCCCGGGTAGGGAGAAGACAACATCCATTGGTTGGGAGGCCCGCTGATTAAATCCCTCCAAATCAAAGGCCTCGTTTTACTGGGCTCTATTTTCTGCAAAACTGATAGCAAACTTCGACCTCCAAAAAACTGGTCCTTTTGAGGTGGAGGGAATCATAAATCCCATTATTTGAAGACACACCTGTTAGTAGGGAAAATGGGTTGAGATGGGATGATCTGGTTGGCTTTTGTCCATGAAAGTGTCTACTCTTTGGAGGTCAGGGGTCTCCCTCTGTAGACTTTCTCTATCTCAATACATTCCCGCGTGCAGATCACAACCAAGGGGTTCGGATGAAAGTTCGAGATTTAGAAGGATCCATCCCTACAAGTATAGTTAGAGATTTGATTTAAACAAACAACGTCTCATCAATTTCCAGCATTATGGTTCATCAGGTTCATGCTGCAATTCGTCAGAACACTCTTGAACACTCTTGGGGCTCAACCCTTTCCTCTCAATATCTCTGCAACTCTCGCGGGATCGGCACCGATATTCGCACGCCTTCCATCTCTTTAGGTTCGGGTGCAGCTTCGAGGGAAGGGATCCACGAATCTTCACTCCATCTTTGTCTTGTCAAAAGCGTGTCTCCAAAAAGTAGTAGAAACAGGAATTGCACCTAGCAGCTGCCCCAGTAGTCTCAAATTCAAAAAAGAACTGTTTCAACTTAGTATAGGTGTCAGGTTTTCAACAACTAACAAAGCTAACCCGATCCAAGGTGCTGATGTCACCCGTATACCTGGCTGCTATGACTCCTCCAAAGATCAGCCCACCGAGCACCGCCACGTGTCGCCCGCGGAAACGACAGTCGCGAACCGCCACGTGGAAGCGCCACGCGCCTCGCCTTATCCAGATCGATGCTGGAGTCCAGTCCACTGGCCTCAGCGGCGCGGACCCGCGCTTCGTCTCCGACTCTGGGCGCTCGGTGACGGCGGTGACCGACGGATGACCGGTGTGAACGTACGGAACGTACGTTTTTGCTCGTTCAACGCGATGCCTGCGGATTGGGTACGGCCGGGAAGTGGGTTGCAATGGCTTAGCATTGAACGACTTTAGAACTACTGTTATATGATAACATACACTCCGACTCACTAACAATGGAAGTGGACACTTGCCTTTGGGAAGAGTATATAATATACTTTCCTTTACCACTGAGGAGGGTTGCCACTTCCATGGTGAGTGGGAGTGCGTGAGTCTTTTTCTTCTGACATTCAGGACCCAGGAGGAAAAGGGAATGCACATGTATATCCATGTAACAACCCACACCCAACCCACAACACAAGTTATCACCATTAAGCCATTAAGCCGCCGACGGGGCCTATGGAATGGAATGAATTTAATCCTTCGCAGGGCTGTCCAAAGCGCCACCCGTCCGGCGACGGAGAGTTCACTCACTTCGAATGGCCTACGAAAGCCTTTGGACTTTAATTGGGAAGCCAATTTTGACCCGGACAAATGGCTAGCAGGGTGGGCTTGAACCAGGCCCCTTTTGCTAACTAGACCCGCCGCAATGTCCTATCCATTGCACTCCAAAAGCTCGATCTGCCTTTCTGAATTGGCCCGGGCGTGGAGTTTGGATGATTCTTTTTGGCAGAAGAACCATGGTCCTCTTGGGCGACCGGTGTTTGGTCTCCTGGTTGACTGGACACGCACGTCTCGCCCGGGAAGCTCGCCCCCCACTGAACGCACGTCCCACCGAACGCCCACTGGGTCGTTCCCCGCCAAGCCGTTGCTGGGCAGCTCCGGGTCCTCGTCCAAGCCTAGGGCCTGGAACGGTGGAACTGTGTAAAGAGTTACAAACCCATGAACGACAAGGTCCTTGGTCTATATATACATAACGACCTTGTTCTGCTCTGCCATTTGCGCTCTGAACATCTCCGAATGAAGCGTTTCTGAGAGATTCGGTGGTGACACGATTTGAGCAAAGGCGGCAGGGGCAGAATTGGATCGTGTTTCTTTCAGACGTTGGTTGCGATCCCGGGCAGTCCTTGGTGAACTCATGTCATGTGTGTCTTGATTTATGGACTTGTCTCAGAAATGAGACATGATGAGACTTGTCTACGAGGTCGAGGTGTTATATCTGAACAGCCACATGGTTTGGGACTCGGAGAGGTCGAGAAGCCATCCAACATCTTAACCCACAGCTTCAAGGCTTTTCACATCACAAACAAGCCTCCAAATCCACAGTTCTCTTGCCCAGTTCACTGATGAAACCGGATCCTATACACTAGCCCCCCCCAAACCATCCCATCCTACTGCTTCCTCGCAAAGTTGAGGACCTCGCATGCTTCCCGCCACGAACGGCGGCCAACTCCGATGCCCCGGGGGCGGCCTGGGAGAGGAGCGACTTTAAAGGCACCGTGCCCACCGCGCCTGACGAGTCTTGCGCGGACGACGGGCGTGGACTCTTGTCGGTCGCTGAGCGGTGTCTGGGGAAGGGAAGAAAAAGCCACGGAGATCGACGATGAACAGGGAGCATGGGTGATTTTGGGGGGTCAACCTGGTCTGATAATTGCCTGACTGCCCTTTGACTGAATAGATTGGATCTCCAAGCCAAACCACCTTTGGGCCCAAAGGGGGCTCCAAACGGCCATGGTGGCGATGCTTCTAAAGTATCCGTCCGGCCACACGTCTTCACCCTCTTCCGCCGTGTCCTCCGTCCTCCGTCCTCCGTCCGGCCACGCCTTCCATCTGCGGAAGTTCGTTCACCCGCCGTGGCGAGAGGAAGGCCATGTTCCGATTCCTCGGGAAAATCCGCGGACCAACCGAACGGCCACCCGAGTGAAGCGGAGGAAAGACCAACAATGAATGAAGTGTCTCCAGAGTACCCAGCTGGTAAGGGTGCAATGCCGTGCTAGTGCAGGCTTTGCCAATAGAATCTTTGAAGTTCCACCGTTCCACCAGCCAACATCCCTTCCAACCCCCTCTATATAATGCGCCCCGGTTGCAGTACCGCCTTCACCCGCCACTTTCGACCCTTCCCGCCGCCTGACGCACTCGACGCCCCGCCACGCCGGGCGACAAGAAGCGGTCCAGCTCGGCTAAAGCGCGCACCATCTTCCTCCTCCGCCCGGCTCGGTGCGAGACCGGCGCCAGACGTACGTCCGGTCGACCGGGAGGTACGGTGGCGCGTCTCCGACATCTGAAAAGAGCAGGAAGGCGGTTCGTGTGAAAAAGCAGTCCGGTGGTTCAAGCAGAGCTTGTCAGCTTGTCAATGACTGAGTCTGTACCTGATGTGTTGTGACTGTTAAACTGAAAACTAGCGTAAAGCAGGGGAGGCCCTGGTGTCAAGGGTTGTTCTGGATTTTTCTGCTTAGGATGTCAAGTGATTCCTTCCCTGGGAATTCGAGGAATTGCTTGGATCCTCTGAGATGAGATGGGAGATGCTGGGGATGCGCTCATCTTGTTGTTCTGCTCGTCTCCCTCCAGGTTCCTTCAGAGAGCTATTTCAGGAGAGACATGGAGAGACATTGGCACTGAAATAATTAGCAACGTGCAAGACTCAAAATCACCACAATATACCACAACAGCTGCACCCTGTAGGTTTCTCGAATCCAACCAAGTCTTGCGGACTTCTTTCTCAAACACGAGTACTATATTGAGTGCTTGGTAATTCAAATCATCCCACAAGTTGAATATGGATCGCCATTCCCCCCAAAAACGGATGAAATTACAACACCCTCTCACACATGCAAGAAGATAAGCCCCTATCAAATAGGCCAACAGCATCTAGCAAGCCGCAACAGCATGTCGATTGCAACTGCGCTGAACCGCGCCGTCCGCGCCAGCGCCGAGCCGAAGACTCGCCTGGATTCCAACTGCCGTCGTCGCCGGGAGCTGGAAATGATCCAAGACCTTCGCACGGGTTCGCACGGGCAGCTCGACGAGAGGAGACACGGCGAGACCTCGACCTCGACGTGAGGAGGAGCCGAAGCACGCATTGCCGGGACAACGATGAAAGGGCTCCATGAAAAAGTGCCGAAAACAGATGGAGTTATAGAAACAGCCGTTAAGCTGCAACTCCTGTTTTGGGCCGCGAGCTGCGAAGTCAAGGTACATGACATCCTACTATGTGCAAAGTACAAAATGTACATATTACATGGAGTGAAAATACACCCCCCTCAGCTAAGGTAGCTTTGCTCCCGAAGCTGGACGCGGAAAGTGCACGAGGGCTTGTGCAGGGCACGACAGTGATGTCGGCACAAAGCTGCATGGCAGTTGTGGATGCTAGCAATCCACTGCCTACGTGGCCCTGTACGTGCATTTTAATTATTCACTCCCCGCCGCCAAAAGAAATTGAAAGTTTGGACTTGGGAGGAAAACCGCATACATATTGACAATGGATGTCATGCAATGAATTATGCTCGCTCACGCAAAAGGGTTGAGACTTGGCTCAACTAACGCCAATGCCACTGGCTCCGACTCGAGCTCCAGTCCCACGAGCGGCGGTCCCACTGCCGCTGCTCGCCCCACTCGCTCCAGTTCCATGAGCTCCATCCCCACGAGGACGATGCTGATCCGGATGCACGTGGGCTCACCGGTGAAGGTGGCGGACCTCCCTTTGCCTTTGAAGCTGGAGTTCCATCACCTCCGGTGGAGGACTTGCGCTTGCCCTTGCTCTGCTGCTGGCGCTGCTCTTGAGTCTGCTTGTTGACCACATCACGCCTGGCAGCGGAGAGGTTGTCATGGCATAGCTGGCGAATCTCCTCCATTGCGCAGTGTTGACTCATCTGATGCACACCGTCCCAAGCCAAAAGGCCACGATGGGAGTCGGGTGAGTTGATGTACTCGATGTACTCACGCAAGGAGAGGATGTTTGTGCGATAAATCACGCACCATTGCTCAGGAATGTAGTCCATGGCCTGTGGATAGCGGTCGGGCGCTACGTCGATGTAGGCCAGCCGTGCCAGAGAATGATCTTCGTCATATCCAAGGCCCAGGCTGACTTGCGCTTTGTTGCGCGGCGGGTTCGCCAAGTGAGCATGGCAAAGCCAATCCTGCCGCTGCGCTGCCCGATGGTCATAGCCCATTTGCAGCATTCGTTCCATGAACTGGACGTCATGCTCGAAGCGATCCTCGATGCTCTGGAAGCCACACTTGTCTGCACGCCTCATCCGGCTGCGAGCGTCTTGGATCATGATCGCTTCTGGGCTCATGTTTCCACGGCCGCTTGCAGACACCACACGCAGGTTGAGGCCAGCCTTGATGTAGTCGCTGACTGGGCACTCAGTGCGAGCGAGGCCGGCCCTCGCAAGCTGCTGCCTTCGGAGAACTGAAAGTCTGGTAACAGCTTCCTCCGGCAGCTCGGTGTTGGTGGCAAGTTCGGCTGAACAAATGTCACAGTGGGTCATGCCCCTGAGGACTAGACCCTTGCATTGGCTGCATTCAACCTGGATCACCGTCAACTTGCGTCCCTTTCGAAGTGTTGGGGCGGTGATTGGCGCATCAAAGCCAGGTGGAGGCCCCGCTGGCTCAGGCGGAGCGTACCCGCTGTAAGATGCTGCAGGTTGCTCTTGCTCTGCCACATTCACGATGGAAGTGGGTGGAGTCGAAGGCGCAGCCTTGTTTGCAGGTGCTGATTTGCTGGTTGCAGTCAGGGAAACAGGCATTGCTTTTGCGGTTGGCCGGGGCTCGCCAGTGATGGCGGCCCGGCTCTCACCTCCATCCGCTGGAGCAGCCTCGGGTAGGCCAACGGCGCTTACCCTGGTCCAGAGTGTGGACTGGCTTTCGGTGTTTTCGACGGAGACAATGTATTCTGGAGGTACTGTGTCAACCGTCATGATCCCACCGGAGCGGTTCTGGAAAAAGATGAGACCGCCATCGACTGCTTCCCGAAGTGCAACGGTAAGCTGAATAGGGTGCTTGCCGCGGAGACCGCTTTGATAGTCGGTCTCCGTAATGCGACTTGCAGCCAGGTAGACATGGGCTCGATCGCTGCCAACAAACTCGCCCCCGCCTGGGATAAGGCCCTCCTTGACGATCCGCTTCCAGCACGCTGGCCTCGTGCGGTGGTAGGCCAAGACAGGGATCTCATCCGCTTTGGCGATGGGCTTCCCAGTGAAGGGAGCTTTGGCTTCTGGCCTGAGCGCAGGACTGCAGTACATCAGGGCTGCCGATCTGTAATTGTCCTGTGCGCTCTTGATCGCGTGCTTGCTTTGACCAGCAGCGGCACGCATCTTCAGAGGCCATAGTGCCACGCCCTTCTCCTCGAGTTTGTGCCCTTCTCGAATGCCCAAAAACTCGAATCGGTTTTTCTTGTCTTTTGCTGCTATGGCGATCAAGTCTTTGACGGTGAGCGGCGGGGCACTGCGGTGATTCAGGCCGAAACACCTGGCTACCTCGTCCAAGTCTGCGTAGCCATCTTCGTCAACCTCAAGGCCCAGATATTGGTCATGTTGTCGAACAACTTTGGATAACTGGGTGAGCCAATCCTTGAGGGGTTTCGCGAAGAAAAGGTGCCCGCCATTTAGCTCCCATCCGCTCGCAAAGTGAAGCTGCAATTGCTTGTCGCCAAGCTGGACCACTTGCTGGAAGGCGCCATCGACCTCGGCCATCTTGTACGTGTACTCGTGGTATTGGTCTGCAAGATACTGAGGGCACACAACGTGGCCTTCATCAGCATCAGCTGCCGGCGGCGATGAGGGTGCCTCGGGCTCGGGCTCGCCAATGATGGCGGCCGAGCCTTCCTCGCCATTAGGTGCGCTTTCTTCTTCATGTTCTTCTGGCACGACCTCCTCATATGGCGATACATCCTCATCTTCGTTGGCATCAATGTCGAGCCATGCCGCTGGGTTTTCGCCAGTTTCAACACGATGGCTGAGTTCCTCAAGCGTCTGGAGCCGTCCCTCATAGGTTTCTCGGTTGATGTCCAGCTCTGCAGCAATCTTCTCCTGCTCCTCCTCCATGACATCAAGTCGTTGCTGGAGGATCTTTTCTGCCGTGGCGTCATTTGCGACGAAAATCTCCGAAAGGTCTGGATCAGCTTCCTCCCCTTCGGGCTCATCATCGATGACGGCCATGTCTGCCTCGGTAATCGGCGCTGCACGGTTTGGCTGCTCCGCAGCGACGTCCTTCTTGGTAAGGGCGCGGGCGGTGAGCTCGGCTGCGGCGATTGCCCTTTTGTGGCGGACATCGGCAAGGTTACGGAGTAGCTCTTCGTATCGCTGATGTGGAGGGAGGCGATCATCACGAAGCTCAAGTCCACCGAGTGGACGGTTCATCGGACTGGTGGCAGCTACTTCCAATGCGATATCTCCGAGAACATAGAGTCTCATAAGCAGGTGGAATACACTCTGACAAAATGAGAACATATGATTTGCATTCTCGTCCGATTTCTCGCAATGCCATTGGTCACGCAAGTCCATGCGGATGTTGAGGACGTTGATGTTGACTAGGCGGAAGCGACACTTGCCGATCTGAGAACCGTACACCTCATCCTGGAACCACTGACTCAGCCGGTTAAACCAGTCGCTGTAGGGTCCCTGCCGCGCGAAGCTGTAGGTCTCAGAGTCGGGCGCGCTGATGAGAGCGGCCGAGTGCACACCGTATCGAAACATATCGGCGGCAAACCCGACCAACTCTTCTTGTGCCTTCTCCTGTAGCTCCATGTAGTGATCGCCGTCAGGATGATCGAAGGGCCATGAAGTCTGGGCTTCAATTCCTTTCTTGCCAATGAGCTCGTTGCCAGCCCATACCACGCCAACCAGCAGCATGCAGCCTGGAAACTGGCGCTTGAGGCTCCTCACGGCAATACGGGCTCGTTTCAGCAACAATGGCAACTCTGCACCCCAGAGGCATTCGTGATGAAAATGCTTGCAGTAAGTTGGACGATAGGCCTGAAAGTGATCGGCCAGATCGAACCTCTGGGGTTTGCGTTTCGAACCGCTAACCAAGCACAAGGTGGAATCAGAGATCAAGATATGTACCGTTTGGTAGTCTTGGCTCGTGGGCACACCTGTGAAGGCGGCTAGATCATACCGTGAGGTCCGAATCAACGGGCCCAACTCCGGCTCTAGCCATCGGTTCTTCTCAACCAGGCCCGCCAGCACAGAATGTGCTGTGTGCTGGCCAAGGACGCCATTCAGCACCGCGTCCACGTCCTCAGAATATCCATCTTCGAGGTAGTAGCCAGAGGCCACAATCTGCCGAAAGTGCGACTCGAAGATGTCCAAGGTTTCCCTGCGCATGTCTTGGTCAGCCGACATGGTGTGATCAACAATGATCGCTGGCAGGGCGCGCTGCGCGACGGCGGCTGAATGGCTTGAGCTGCTATTCTTAAAGCAGCGGTGAACAAGATCAGTGTACTCAAACGTGTAACCTTCAGCACTCTTCAATGACTTGCCTCTACTTTGCCCGTGAGTGTGATCATGTGTACACATGTATTGCTCAAGACATGCAAGCTCATGAAGATTTGTGCATATGTGCCAACTCTTACGCATAAGATTACCGTGATCATCTCGCACACCAAACATGCATCCATCGAAGTTGTATCCTTGCAAGTTGTGGCGTTTAATGAAAGCCAACACCGACGGCCAATGCCAATAGCGACAGCGACGGGAAAGCTCAAAGGCAACAAACGTCCTTGAGTCAAGGTGGTCACGCACGAGCTTGGCGAAGCTCTTGAAGAGTTTGGTGAACTCCTTTTGTTGCTCCTTAATGCGTTCCAATCCTTCCTCAGTTTGCTTGTTGACGTTTCCCCATGGGCTCCCGCCCGTGCAGGGCAAACTGCCGTACAGCAGAACCTTTGCTTTTGGGTGCTGTTGTTTGAAGGTGTTGATTTCTTTGTCAAGCCACCTCATGCACTCGCCTGTGGTTGCATCTTCGTTGATTGTGACGCGGAGGACTTTACATCCTTT